TAGCTGCAAGATACTGTCGCGTGGGAGGTGACCTCTGGGTGAGGATTAAAATTTTAAGATTGGATAGGGCCATCAAGATTCAACCATGTGTGACATATTGAAAAAGATCTGTGCAAACAAGACCTTTTACTCGAACAAAATATCCTACTTGCTGTCCTACATTTACTGCCAGTCATACCTGCGATTTTTTTTCTTTTTTTTTTTTCCTCTTTTTTTTTTTTTAGGAAATCCAAGTATGCTTCACAAATTTTCATACTGCTGGCAATAATATACCAGCTCCTTTTAGGACAAATACGTTATTTTGATTAATCTGATACCATTCTAGAAATGTTGCTTTCCTCCAGGGTATAATGTAGTCTTGTTTATCTCAAGTGTTAAAAATGCTGAGCAGCATTTGGCCCATTCAAAGCCCTTGCTTTATGGCAACTTGCTGAGCTTCATTAGAAAATTCCATTCAAGAGTCAGAAAACTATGTGTCAGGCTGCCATCTTCACAGTTGTTACTTCCTCTCTCTGAGCCGTCTGTTTTACATCCAGTCTTAGGTGTTTTCCACCATCTGATTACAGAAATATGCATTTTTTACTATCATATAAAGCTATTCAACTCCTAGCTTATTCTGGATAATTTGTCAAGTATCTGCTTGTATATGCATTTTATTCCTGATCTTTACCACACAGTCAGCTAGATCAAAACTCATCGGTTTATTCCTAAATGATCTCAGGAATTTAAAGTACCACCCAACAACTCTGTAATTAAACAGAGAGAATGGTGCAAAAGTATTTCTGCATTTTGACATCATGGTTTAGCTAAAATTGCTGTAATAGTAAACAGGTTGTTTTGATGTCCAGGACCTCATAATAACACTAATTATGTAACAGTATGCAAATGGTCTTGATAAGCAAGCTACCTCACTTTGAACTCCCCTTATTTACCCTTTCTGATGCAGAACACCTTCCTAGTCATTTCTTTCCAACATCACTCATGTATGATCTCCTCTATACAGAACAGCTTCCTCTAGTCTGAAAATGTCACTTCTCTTGTAACATTATTATCCAAACAGTCCCATGTCAAAGATTTCTACCCACTTATCACCAGTGAGAAACTTTGTCCTAGTTTGAGTGAGTGGCGGGGGTTTTTGGTAACAGGGGAGGGGGTTACAGCGGTTGCCCCCTGTGAGAATCTTCTTGAAGTTTCCCCAGCTCTGAGTCGGACCCGCCTTTGTGCCAAAGCTGGGCCAGTTAGCTGCACCTCTATGATAATGTATTTAAGAAGGGGAATCTGGGGGAGTTGTGAGGAGAATTTGAAAGGAGAACATCTGTGCGAACACCAGGGTCAATGGAAGGAAGGAGGAGAAGGGAGGAGGTGTGCCAGAGGAAATACTCCCCCGTATCCCGTGGTGAGATGGCAGGGCTGCCCCCCTCGCCACCCATGGAGGTCCACCGTGGAACAGATGTCGATTTGTGGTCTGTGGGGGCTCCACTCAGCACCAGGTGACTGTGCCCTGAAGAAGGCTGGGACCCCATGGGGAGCCCCTGCAGTTGTAATTTGGTTCTGGGAGGACTGCAACACACGGGGGGGACCCACACCCCCAAGGGAGTGACTCATGTTGGAGTTGGTTTGTGGAGGTCTGTCCTGTGCGAGAGGGAGACCGTGCTGGGACAGGGAAGGAATGCAAGAAGCTTCCCCCTTCCTGAGGTGGAAGTGGCAGGACTGACTGCCCCCCGCCCCCAATTCCCTGCTCCCTGCATTGCTGGAGGAGAGCTGGGAGAGATGTCAGGAGCAAAGCTGAGGCTGGTAAGAAAGGAGGGTGGTGCAAGGTGTTTCAAGATGTGATAATATTTCTCACAGCCCTAGTCTGTATGTTAAAAGTGTTGTTGTTTTTAGCGTCTGTTTTAAATTTATGGTTTTTTCTTCCCCTAATGAACCTGGGTTTTGCCTGTGCCTTAAAGCATGACATTATCCCTCTCTGTCCTTATCTCATATTTCTGGGTCTTTGCTTCCCTCCTTCTCAGCTGAGGGGTGAAGAGGTGAGCAGCTGCATGGTTCTCAGTTGCCCTCTGAGCCTAAACCACAGCAAGCATAGGCACAATATTTGCCATAGGTGCTTGAAAATTTTAAAACATAAAAGCCTACAAACTCTAATCTAGTTATATGGGACATACATGATAGTTCTACGCATCCCCCTATTCCCAGCCTTGGTTGGACAAGTTGCTGGAGAGATGACACAGGATATGACACAGGAATATCCCGGAAGCAAAATTTGACACCAGCAAGGAGTAACTCAGCATCTGAGCAGTGTAAGCTGGTGCAAGAGCAGATAATGTTACCTCTTATCATTGGTAACTTGGGGATAAGCATAGAATTTATGAAGTCTTTCACTGAGTGCTTCTCCACTGTTGGTATTATAAAGGTGTGAGTAGCAGTTTTAGGATTTTGATGAAAAGCAAACAGTGGCACAAACTTTATTAGGAATGGGAGAAAGATATGTGGGAGTAAGCAGGTTTGGGCTTACCATGGTTAAGCAGGATAAAGCCAGTGGAGTAAATTAAATCAATAGCTGAGGTGATGACAAACTGCACAAAACAGAGAGTAAGAGTAGCACTGTCACAAAGTCAAGAACATTTATAGTTTGAATGGACCTTGGAAGGCCATTACTGTGTGCTGAATGTGTTTAGTCATGTACACACATTCCTAGCAATGTCATGCCACTGTCATAACACTGTGTCAACCTTCTAATTTACAGTTATTTTGATAGTTGTCAGTGCAGCAGCCTGCATGAGTAAAAACCTTTCAAACTGCAATCATATTATGCCACAATATTGATTTTAAATTGATGGAAATCAGACAAATACTTCTGGATATTGTATTACTAAATTGCATATTCTTCTCACACTTTGGCTCCTTAATGTTCAGAGCTGTGCTGCTCTTTTCTCATGTACCTTTATTATCATACTTCATATCACAACTACATTATAATACTGTAGAGGGCACTAATGGTGCATATGAACAGCTGTTGAGCAAACCCACAATTTCAACTGCATGAAATGCATCAGTGGATGTCCACGGCTTTGTATTTATTCACCAGTGTCAGACCTCTTTGGCCTATTGATGCTAGGGACCTGGTGATGTGATCACACCTGACCAAATAATCTTAGATACAGAGAAAATAAGAAGATTCAAGTAAACAAATAGTTCTTGTATGTTTTAAACTTACTAAATAGAATGTGGCGGAGGTAGAAAAAGCCCTTGCCATTTAAATTATGGTTAAATTAGGAAAATATTTTGGCATCTATGGTCATTGAAATTTTTGCTGTTAGACTTATTCCTGGTGTGTTTAGGATAGAGGTTTTGGATGGAAAATGGAGATTTGCACTCTGTGGAAAGTTTCGCTATTCAAGAAGTTTGTCTCCTGTTTCTTCCTGCAGAGACAAAGTAAGCAGTCAAAGCCACAAGTGTCCATCCTAGAGGCATTTTGCTGACACTAGATGTCTGTCATACCTACTTTCCTGATGTTTAAAGCTGGCCTTTACCATAACTGTGATAAAAAGTGTAGAAAAACATTCTTAGTAGGAAAAAGTTCTAGGAAATAAGTGTTTGCACTAAGTCTAAAAAATTTAGGAGAAAATTTGATCATAGTATCTAAACAGTAGAAGGTACAGATTGAGTTCTCAGACTAGCCTAAAAAAGTGTGAAAGGATCCAGAGGCTGGAAGTTGAAGACAGATAATTTCACTGTAGGTGTGTTTGCATTTTTAGAAATGTGAAAAACTAGCTACTGGAATGAGATGTCAAGATGTCTTCTCCATCATTATATTCACGAATGTATTTTTTCATCTCTGAAAGATATGCTCTTCTAAGGTTAGAAACTAATTCAGGGAGATTCGGTACTGTTCTACCAAGATCAATCCGATCTAGATTCAGATCCAGACCTAGATCTGCCATATGAGCCTAAAGGAGGCAGCACAAAATATTTGACAAGTTTATTCCCAAGCTTCTATGAGGCTTATGTAAGGTTTATTTTATACGATTGGCTCCTGACAGCCATTCATAAAACTTGCAGCATTTGCTATCCAAATAGCTTCCAGCCACTGACATTATATCCTCTAGCATATCTGCTTACATTCTGCTGTTGTCCTACTTCCAGATACCATTCATCTTTGAGCACACAGTCTCACCAAATGCATCATTGCTTGCTCTGCTGATATCTTCATTGAAAGCACTCAGATATTACAAACAGCAGGTGCCATTTAAACAAAATATCCATGTGACTTGATATGTTAAAATCCTGCAGATCTGTTCTAAACCTGCTAATCTTAAACATATGCATAAGATTGTTTATTCACTGATTGTTCATACTGCTTTTATCAGATTGTTGTAAAACTATTTAAAAATTAGTTAGCTTGAAGGAAAATTAACCAACAGCACTAAACATGCCCATATTAAACAATTTACAGTTCCACCATTTGGGTGCTTGAGATGATCACAAACTTTGCATCTTCATAAATCAGCATAGTCAAATAGGGGAGTGGACCCAACTGTTCATTCCTGCTTCTGTGCCTCTCCATCCCATCGTACCTCCCTTCTCCACCCTTACACCCTATGCCACATTTATAAGACTGTAACTCTGAAGTTGGGGTGAGGGAACTGACCTGGGTTAAAACATTCAGCACCAGATGTAGATAACTGAATGGTGTTTGCAATCTGTAGTTTCTCTGTACATTCACTATGCAGTTCCACAGTTATTCTGGTATTAAGAATAAAATAGCATAAGGATGAAAAGAAGTATGAAGAGCAGTCAGCGTCTCTGTTGAGCAACTGCTCAGGCTCAAAGCATTTGTGAAACTCCCTGTTTTGCAGTGCCTTAGACATCATTGCCCGCTGTGGCCTCAGCTTAAGGAATAATACAGCTGAAGTATTCGATATCTTCTTACCAGAGTACCACATCAATCAGCATTTTATATGTGCAGACTGTAAGGCTATTATAATAATCTAGATTCCCTGAAAACTTCAACAGAAGTACTTCCATTTGATATAGGAGAAGGATTTATGCAGCAGGATTTTTTTATGAAGCATATACAAATCACTTCCAAGGTACTATTTCACATTAATTTCTTAACAGTGAGTGAGCAAATAAAGTTAGGATTATGCATCACTGAATTAATTTCATTATTGACTTCACTGGCAGTGGTGTGAACATCAACATCTTGGAAAAAAGAAATGCAAAGTTACATTACATTCAGTATAAATTTTTATTTGTATAAAGCCCAAATAAGCTGCAAAGTAGAAGAAAATTATGCTTGTATCTCCTTTAAGTCTTGTTTCTTTTTGAGTGATATAGAATGTAAATCGGAATTTTGCCAAGAGGGATCCTGAACCACTGTTCTTTGTTGGAGATCCTTATAACCCTCTTATACTTAACACTGTTATATTATAATTTTACTTGGCAACCCTTGTGCTATTTTTTTTTAAAGTAGGTTAAGTATGAGTCACATTGTTATAACACAATTGTATTGCTTTCCAGGCTAAGATGTTGAGCTTGCAGAACGTGAATGAAAACTAGCTGGAAAGGAACAGTGAGTCACTTCACCTAATAAAACTTTTTTTAAGTGTTATAAGAAAAAAACCTCCAGCACATTAGAAGTATCTACAGAAAGGGTAGTGTTCAGTGGATAAATCTCAAAGCTAGATAATTGGAGACCAGAGTGATTCTACCTTTGTGCACAGAATTTCAGTGTGACCTTAGTCCATCTGCATAGTACTTTGCATCGACCACCTATAACTGAGTAATTCATTTCACAGCCTCAGCTGTCTAAAAGTTAGGGATCTGTTTTAAGTTACTTATCTGCATTGCATCTAACTCTTGTCAATACAGACATAAATACATCATTCAAATGCAATGAACCTTCCTTGGGATCTCTCTCTCCATCATCAGTAGAGAGAATGTAGCTTAAACCAGATGCATCCATTTAAACTAGGTAGTTAGGTGAGCTAAAGATTACACTAGCAGCCCCTTGGTTAATACTCAGTTTCTTTCTGGATGGTTCCTCTAAGAAATTAATATGTCATTGAATCAGGACCATGAAGTAGCACTGGAATTTAGGCCAAGTACTTTGTCTTTAGGAACCTTTAACATCTCTCCTTTTTGTCTCTCCTGGTTGCAAGCAGAAATTCTGCCTGCATTTGTAAAACAGATTCTTCTTCATACCTCCCTCTTTTGCAATATAAGCAATAAATGCTAAATAAATTAAAAGCATATATGATTTAGTTGGCATGGAATTTCTTAACTATCAATTCTGCACTGATATTGATCTGTATATTGACACCGACACACAGTAATTACTGATGTGTTTTGTTGCTATAAGTTCACAAAGGCTACATGCTGCATTCTTAAAAACAGCCTGAATTCCTATCCAGTCTAAATGAGATTTTGTCTAAGATTGAAGTGCAGAATAGGTCCCAAGGTCTACATGCTTAGAATCATATGAATATTCATTTGAAAAAAATTTTGAAAATTTGTTTTAAAGAAATGCACGTGCTGAAAAACAAAAACCTCACTTCTAACTGAAATGTATCAGTCACTTTAGCAGCTCCATCCCTTTGGGCCACCTAAAGGCAGTGGTTCATATTATGGACTAATGGGCTGCAAAATTTCAGTGTAATAACAGAATTTTGTTTCTGGCAGATTGACAGAATTTTGTTGTTTTGGGGAAGGCTGTAGGGGCAACCATAGCATAAAAGTAAGGTCAACTCCAGTCAGACAATTTTTAGTAACTGGAAGATTGTGATGGTTGCCTGGCAACTAGAGCAGATATGAACTAGCATTTCCAGGTGACTTGGGAGACTTACTGGCTTTTTCTCTTGGTATATTGAGAAGACTGCCTTTTAAAAGGGTCTGGCAGTCAGAAAGGTAAATTAATCACAGTTAACTTGGCCCATGGTAAAGGCAGAGATTGGCTGATCTGGGTTCTTCCCAGCACTTTTTTCCCATGTTTCTCTGAAGTGTTAATATATCATATAACTCTTGAAATTAAGAGACACAGGCTTGATTGCTTTGCTGCATTTGTATAAACTAACGACACCTGTGGGCTCAAAACATAATCTCTAGCTTCCCAGCATCATCCCCTATGCATTTCTCTTAGCCTGCAGGGAACACTCAACAGGTTCTAGGTGGGACCCACTTTATGCTGAACTCTGTCTTTATGCCATTTATTATTCGTTGGTATGAAAAGATTACAGAAAGCAAAACCTCCTCTTCTCACCAGGGAAAGATAAGAATAAGGAAGTGCTTTAAATTTCAAAACTTCTCTGAGACCTTGCTGCATTAACTCTAAAAGTACACAGAAGGTATTGACGGACCTCTTTTGTTGTACCAAGTCACAACATATTGCTTTGTTTTCTAGGATCCTTTCATCCATCTGAAGAGCAACTCCTTTCAATTGTGATTTGCCACTGGGTGTTCTTGTTGCTGTCTAAGCTCCTCTAGTATGTTCAGACTGTCCATAGAGTAACCGTGGGTAAGGATTTAATAATTTTCATGAATGATCCTCATAAATGTTGCCATTCCCATGTGGAGGATAACTTATCTGGGGAGAAATTCACTGCATGCACCTTCAACAGAATACAGTAGGCTACAGGATACGGGTTGCTTCGTAGTCAGTGGAAGATCATCACTACCTTTTACCTACCTTAGATATTTATGATACAATGGGTGTCCCGCTGACAGGTTCAGACTAACTACTTTCAGCAAGTTATGGCTAGGTGTAATGTATTCCATACTTGATGTTGCAAGCCCCAGTGTCCTGACAGTCTCACAGGCACCATAATCCTTTGTCCAAGACAAACTGCTTATTTTCACAGGGCATCTGATAACAAATTCACAGATGATGCAGAAATGTTAAGGAATGTTACTGATTAATATCTGCTTTGTTTCTTTCCTCTTCTGCCTGTTGTTCTGTATCTCAACCCTCTCTTTCCCATGCATACATTCCTTTCTCTACCCTGTCAGCCTAATCTAGGTATCAGCTCTTCTGAAAAATATTCTTTCTAGTCTTGTTTTCTAATAGTTTATCACTATCTATAGATAACAGTGTGTATCACTGAAAAAGGTGATGTTTCACCATTCCATGGTTCTAGCTGGTATTTTGTACTTCTGAATCCTTCCTCTTAGGTAGCTGTACTATATATTTTCTAAGATACTACATATTTTTTAATAGAGTTCCAAACTCTCAGATGATTAACTGCTTATAACTGAAGGGTTTAAATACCATAAACCAATTTTTAGAGTCAGGTTGGACTTGTTGAATCTATTTCTTGAAGAAAAGAGTTTTAAAAGCTTGGGTTTCTTTCATTATAATATGCCCTGTCAGTTTGTTTTGTTGTTGTTTGATCATTTCATTGGATTCCCTGTAAGATGCTCCAGAGTCTGGTAGCAGTATTATGAATTTTATAATAGCATTTTGCATAATATTTTCTGGAAAAGCTTGACTAAGTATTGATTTCTCATTACAAGTGATAGTTTCATTACACAGCAGTTGTTGCAGGCTCAGTGCAGATATTTAATTGAAAATCGATTACCATAAAATAGTTTATCTTCAGTATAAATGAGTGCCTGGATTTTGATGGGGTTCTTCTTTATACTGTTTAATCAACATGTGTAGAACAAGTAACTTTTCAAAAGAAATAAACAAGCTATTATTATCTGTATTAGACTACTACTCCTTGTGCATGATTTTCCTTCATGAATGAGATGCTGTGTGTTTTATAGCTTTGTGCCATTTTTACTTTACCAGTTATGTCATCAAATCTGATAATCATTTATAGCTCATTGGTGAAGAATAGTAGGTAAGGGAGCAGCTACTCAAAGACCTGTACGCTGTTTCACTTGACAGTGAATGTTTTTGTTGTTTTTTTTTTCATCTGAAGCATTTAGGTTTTCCACAAGGAATTTCATTCATACTGTTCTCATTTTGTGCTATAAATTGTCCATATACATACATCTTAGGGGCAGCAGAACTGACATCCTCAAATTCCGAAGGGCTGACTTTGTATTGTTTAGACATCTGACTGATGGAATCCCTTGGCAGAGGGTCCTGAAGGGTTGAGGGGTCCAGGAAGGCTGGGCACTCTTTAAGAAGAAAGTCTTAATGTCTCAGGAGCAGGCTGTCCCCAAGTGCTCTGAGAGAAGCTGGTGCCAGAGAAGAGCACCCTGGCTGAACAGGGAGATCTGGCTGCAACTCAGGGAGAAAAGGAGAGTTCACAGCCTTTGGAAGAAAGGGCTAGATGCAGGAGGAAACATGGCAATGAGTGATGAGGAGAAGGCTGAGGTCCTTAATGCCTTCTTTGCCTCAGTCTTTAATAACAAGACTAGTTGCACTGAGGGAATCCAGCCTCCTCAGCCAGAAGACAGAGACTGGGAGAACGACCCCACCCTGCAATCCAGGAGGAGACAGTCAGTGACCTGCTGCATCACACGGACACACACAAGTCTATGGGACCAGATGGGATACAGTGTGCCCAGGGGGCCAAGAAGGCCAATGGCATCCTGGCTTGTGTCAGCAATAGCGTGGCCAGCAGGGACAGGGAAGGGATCTGACCCCTGTACTCGGCACTGGTGAGGCCACCCCTCGATTCCTGGGTTCAGTTTTGGGCCCCTCACTACAAAAAGGACATTGAATGACTCGAGCGTGTCCAGAGGAGGGCAACGGAGCTGGTGCAGGGTCTGGAGCACAGGTCGTACGGGGAGCGGCTGAGGGAACTGGGGGTGTTTAGTCTGGAGAAGAGGAGGCTGAGGGGAGACCTCATCGCCCTCTACAGCTCCCTGAAAGGAGGGTGCAGAGAGCTGGGGATGAGCCTCTTGAACCAAGTAACAAGCAATAGGAGAAGAGGGAATGACCTCAAGATACACCAGGGAAGGTTTAGACTAGATATTAGGAAGCATTTCTTTACAGAAGGTGTTGTTGGGCGTTGGAATGAGCTGCCCAGGGAGGTGGTGGAGTCCCCATCCCTGGAGGTGTTTAAGTCAGGCTGACACAGCGCTGAGGAATATGGTGGAGTTGAGAACAGTCATTGTTAGATTAATAGTTGGACTAGGT